GAATTTTAATACATTTGTCATCTTGTGGCCTGATCATGCACTTTTGTTAACCAATAATTCAATAGAAGATAATACATCTGGTGGAAACCTTGATGCTTTGGAAATAGCAGAATAGCTTTAGTCGTGGCCCTAAAGGTTGATGTTTTCCACACTTGTCAGTCCTGAAAAGATCCGGTCAAATGACATGATTTTAGATCTGTGAACAAGTCACAAAAAGTAAAAGAATCGGTGACAGGCCACATCCCATACTCAGGATGATGTATGTTTTTGGAAATTTTCAAGTCTTTGGAAGCCATAGGTTTGTACAGTTGGTGCAAAATAATCTAAATATTTTCTCTATGCACAGGTGTTTGCGTAATCCCGGCCATCAATTCTATGCCGCACAAGATCAGTTTGTTGAGGAACAGACAAAATACTCAGTACAGTTTTAATTATCCTTCAATAATATATAATTTTTCTTGATACAGAAATTTGGTGAATGAGTAATCTGGAACTTTATTTAGAAAAAAATTTCTCCAAATTCAAATGGCAACACTCTGTTTATATTCCAAGTGTTTGATAGCCGCAGTTCACTATTACTGTATGTTCCATATCTGATAAGCGGAAGAGTCAGAAGTAATCCGGACATGTCTTGTATTTTATTATTGTTGGGTCGATTCGCGTAGTTGATATAAACTTTATTCACCAATGAAATACAACTTTTTAATAGGGAGATTTCATGTCTATTAAAATAAGTAATGATCTTTATTTAATTATAGCAATGTTGAATGGTTTTTTTTTTTTGTGAAGCCCGCTTCCAGACCATTAATGTTTTTATTGACATCCTTGTATTGTTAGAGGCACTTGCCGCTTCCATCAGATCTTAAAATGTAAAAGTTTAAGGGGAGCATCTGGCGAAATTTTATCTCGGTTATTTACCGACAGATCACTTTGAAACTTGGTACATATATGTAAAACAGAATTCTAAGACTTTTTTGTTTGTATGAATTTTTGAAAAAATGAAAGAAAACGTGAAATTCACAGAAAACGGCCAATAAAGGGGGTACTGTAGAAATCTATCTCCTCCTAGGAAAGGTACAACAGTGAGACATATCATTCAATGCATAAAGACCATATCTATAAAATGTCATAGGCATTTTTTGAAATTCTCATTTTTGTGGGAGTGGGGACATTTTTCATAATTTTTTGAAAATTTTTCACTTTTACCCCCTGCCCCCTGCCCATTTTGCAAAATAAAATGCAAACTATAACAAAATTAGAAAAACGCCTATGATAGTTTGTAGATTTTTTTTTTTTTTTTTGCAAATCAAACGGTATATGTCTCATTGTCATAGCTTCAAAACTCTAGGAGGAGATAGTTTTCTAGTGACAAAAAGTTAACTTTTCAGTAGAGCCCAACAAAGTCCCAGGTGCCTTGAAATAGACGTTCAAGGAAGGAAAAATGCAAGACTAGAAGATACTGGAGCTCAATTCCTGTCTAGGATGGTGTGAATGACGGCACGCAAACCACCCTGTACTACTGCAGGCGGATAACTGAAGCACATCCTGTTTGGACTAGCTATTTAAGTGTGCTACTGGGAATTTCCCCCTATCTTAAATGTGATAGAACTCCACCACCCCTAACCCTTTCGGGATCTGTCATGAACACAAATCAACGTACAGAGATGATTTTGGTACCATTGGATAGGTCAGAATGTCAGCTTTAAGATGAGACTAAAAACTGGAAAAGCCAAAATCCAAAAATTTTGGACAGACGCTCCCCTTAATAGATACAAACTTTGTATGAATAATGCCATTCAATATTGTTAGCTACATTACATAGAAGGTGAAACATTATGATGGCAATGATCAATTTATCTGGAGCAACCTTTACGAAATTAGCATCAAACAAGCTAACGGCTGTCATGTCAACCAGAACTCCACCACCATAGCAGAGTATTTTATACAGCTAATGAATTTCACAAATTTTGATTGAAGAGAGATTACCTATTTAATTTTAGGAAAAAATGCGGGATAATACAATGAAGGGTGGTGGCAGAACTGCAATCTTGGTACTCTATTGCAATTTGTGCTATGAAAACCTACATAACAACTTTTATATTATAGTTATAATTTTTTTACATTCAGAGTATAACATAACGCATTCACATAACATATCGCACTCAGATTTGGAAACCATAATTGCACAAATGAAGCAAAAATAAATGACTGACCATTGACTTATTTTTCAGATTTACAACCAATAACCGTCACTATTGATTAATGGTCATCAAATCAAGGAAATTCCAGACCCAATCAACATTGGAGATATATGCGACCCATCCCTGAATGAAAAGACCATCCTTCCCAAATGTTTAACTTGCAATCAATTTTTACTTCAAAGTTTTAGGAAATGCTGTCATTTGGACTATCTGACCACTTTTTGAAAGTACTCAGTCCAGCAATGTAACTTCTAGTAATACTGTTGGGATAGGAGATATTGTACAAATTCATTGCAATCACCCTTGTGTACTTGGGAAATTAGGAAGAAGAGTAATTCCTTTGATTGTTGGTAATTATAACCTTGTTTGTTTTGTAAAATTATTAACAGACTCTGGAAGAGAATTTTGCAGAGATCAATTTCTTCTTGAAGATTTGTATCACATAGTCTAATTGCCCTCTAACTAATGACTAATATGATGATGACTAAAGGTTGAATGATGACTAAATGATGAAAAGGATGACTAAAGGAATCGACAAGGAATGATGACTAAAGGTTGAAAAGGAAAATGAAACTCAAATAGTAGTTCTAATAACTATTGGGATCTCATATAGTAAAAGTGACAGGAAAATGACAGAATAAAAGAAAATTGGTAAAAAGGATTAACTGAAGCTGAACTAAAGATGATGCCAAGTAAAAATGCATATGGACCAATAAGGAAAGTGCACACCACTAAAATGCTTCCAATATTGAGTTAGTTAGGAGGTTATAGGGAGCTTTCAAGCAAAGCACTCGAGAGGTTAGGGAGCATGGAACAGCAATTTATTCAGCACAACACTTTAGAATAGGTTTTGTCACTGATTTAGATAATCAGTTACTGAGCTAGCCCTAAACTGAAAAGAATGAGAATGATTTTAGTGGAATTGATGAAATAGTTAAACACTTCAAAAGAAAAGCACACAGTAACACACATACAAGGGACACAAATAAGAGGGACAAGAGGGTGTGCTGCAAAGTAGCCTAAACCAACCCCTGCCAACAATGTACAGGTTTGTACCCTACTTGCCGCAACCAGTCATTCATTAGAAGGCACCGACAGCACATCTCCAGCAATGTTGCCTTCTTCAGTTCTGTGATTCATGTCCGCCCGAGTTGTGATCTATTAAAGAATATTCATACCTGGGTTTATGCGTTGGCAATCTATTTAACTCATATCCCACCGCATCACAATGTGGATATATGTTGGTGTGTAAAGTGTGTGATAGCTTGTTGCTCATCCATATTAAAACTATTTTTTACTTGCATAGTACAACCCATTGCGCGGGATGATTAAATGTCAATATAAATTCCCATGCACCTGGCACATCTTCCTGACCATGGGCCACATCAGGCCTACTTTTCAGCACCAACATCACTGTTATGTTATGTGATTGTTTAACTTTGGAAATCCATAAGCTAACTCCTAATTTTAAACAGTGTAAGGGAAATTCACCATTTAGGATTTCAGTGACTTTGATTTATTTTTGTGGCATGTAAGTTTATGGCTGCTTGTAGGGTTGGCAACTGTGCTATCTGATGATGTGGCGGAACCGGCCTGATGCCCGTGTTAGTTCTTCTCATTTGATTGCTGTCAGATTTGGTTGATGCTGTCGGATTTGCTTTGGTAAGTCAAGTTAGTTTAAGTATTAAGTTAACCAGTAGTGTAGTACACATACCATATTTGGGGATGGGGCTTATGGGCACAACCAATCACAGCTGGTAAGGCTTTTGGGTAAGGGTAAGGCTTTTGGTAAGGCTTTTGTAACCAATTACAACTGGAAAGGGGGTAGCATTACAATTCCATCAACCAATCACAGCTGGAAAGCTGAAAATCACAAGCCCATGAAAATCACAATCCCACAATCCAGCTAAAATCACAATCCCATAAACCAATCACAGCTGGAAAGGGATATGACATGTATATAATGGACTGAAAGTGGAAAGTGGCCTTTCTAATCTTTCAGGTCCTGCTTTCCAATATGCTATTTGTACTGGTTAAGTTAATACCCCTCTAGAATTCCACAATGCCCTCATGGCCTCTCTAAGTTGGTACTCTCAGTGGATGCTTCTGGATTTGGTGCAGGAGCATGTCTGTCTCAGTTTCAGTACTGACTTGAGATTCCTATTGCATTTGTATCAAAGAGCTCTAATGCCACCCAACTGAAGTATTTGAGCCTAGATATGGTATTGACCAAACTAAGGTGGGCCACAAACTATGATGATGACCTTTCTAACCTTTCTCATAGCAATTGAATTCATCATTTATTCAAAATAATACAAAATTTTTTGTTCAGTAAAGGGTGATGTGTAAGAACTTTTTTTTGTGAAATGAAATTAAATCATCATTTTTTAAAATCAATATCATTTCAGGTTAGTTGTTTTTTTAATAATGATTCTGATAGACACATTTCTGTCAGGATATTACAATCAAACAACAGTCTTGTACTACAGATTCTTCACATATTTTCTTTCTATGAGACCAGCAAAAATTGCCTGAAAGATATTAAGTTCAATTAAATTTTGTTATAAAAGTAGGAAATTTTCATTTCGATTTGAACAAATTTGATATGTGGTTTTCTCAAACTTAACAATGTTCCAAATCCCATTATGAATTTTGTTCAATTTTGATCTGATATATAATTGGTTATTTTCATTGTTGATTAAAAAACACGTGCCAGTTATAAAAAACATAATGCCAGTTATAAAATCATTTGGAAAGGATATGATCTTAATCCACTTAACCCTTTCTTGAACTCTGCATCCTCTACAGAACCAATATGAAATTATTTTTTGAGAATTCACTTAGAGTGCTATCTAGTTTCATTGTGACGTTTCAACTACTTTTATAATTCCTGAGTCAACTTAAGAGCTTAGCCCATAAGGCCAAAAATGGAGCAATCATGAGTTTTGCTACAAAGTATGACTGATGATAAGATAGTGAGATCTTTTCCTGACTTGTGCTCCAGTCAACCAATGGGCACCAAAGAAATGGACCTACCTTATTTAGTCCAAGGTAAGGATAAAAAACTTGGATCATTTTAATCTGTGGGTTGCATGTTGTCTGAGCTCAATTAAACATTCATTGATTATATTCTAATTTATATCATGAATTACAAGACTTTAGACATTGCATTGATTGATTTTTGTGTTTTTTTAACTACTCAATCAATCAGTGGAATTCATAAAACTCTCTGTATTTGGAAAAAAAATGAACACCCTGTATTAAAAATAGTTTATATATTATGTAATCTTGAGTCTAACCAGAATTGAATTTTCATTTTAAGGAACAGTCCAAAGAGTGATGTTTTCAATGGATATTTCAATTGATTTTTAAGACCTGTTTAATAATTTAAATAACAAAATGGCATATGCTGATTAAATTGAAAAGGTGGTAAAGTAAAAATGTATATATGTGTAAAAACAGAATGCCACTGCTTTGATTAACTGACCAACTATTCATACAGATAATATTGAAGACCTGATTGGCACACATAGCATCTTTGACTTCAGAAATCAGGAAGACGAAAAAATGACAACAAGCTTGTGTCCTGAGGAAGAGTGTGATGACATTTCTTTGAAGAAAGACTCAATGGACTACCTTTTACAGGTAATATTACCAAATTAGTCATTCAGTGGTAATTTGATTGTGTCTGATTAATTACAAAAAATTTTACAAACACAGTGTAATTTCCACTTGGACCTTATTTTGGCCATATTTTGATATTTTACTATCTTGTCTCCGTCCATTTAATCAGTTGAGTAATTTTCTTGTAGACTGACTCTGACCACAAGATTTTGAAGCCAGAAAATTATTTTGCTGGCTTCTCTCCTCCTACTGGGAGTCTTGGAGCTGCAAGGGAAGCAAGCTTGATTGAGCAACTCTCCAGTTGTGAGTCTGGAGTGACATCTCGTGTACAGTGCAGCTTGAATGATGCAATAGGCACAATGTCGAAGAACAGGCCAGAAAAAAGAGCATCGTCACCTGCACTTCAGGAGCCCTGCAGAAAAAAACAAAAGAAGATTACCAACAAGAGTTTGCATAAGAGGTTAATAATTATACATTATACTGTAATAAATATTGACTAATAAAATCTTGATAACAAGTAAAAAAAGTGTGAAATCGATTCTAAATTGATTTATTTCATGTTCAGGATGTTATCAAGACAAGGAGTGAAGTTGAGGCGCTGGCACCAGGATGACATGGAAAAAGCTCTGGCAGCATGTTTGGGTGAAGGGCTTCCTGCTTCAGTTGCTGCTGGGATATTCAATGTGCCGCGTCGCACGCTCTCAGATCGCCTGAAGAGGGTTAGAGTGACAGATAGTGCACCTGACGCAATGTCTACTACATTGTCGCCAAGCGTTGANATTTCAATGTAAATGTCCTCTTGAAAATACAGAAGTAAGGAATTGAAGTGGTGAAAAATCGAAAGATGTTAACTGTTGGGACGTGAATGTGCGAGGAAGCTTTGCATCAACCTTGTCACACTTAATTTAACTGTATGACACACTTAATAGCACTGCATGACACACTTCATAGGACTGCATGACACACTTCGTAGGACTGCATGACGCACTACATAGGACTGCATGACGCACTACATAGGACTGCATGACACACTTCATAGGACTGCATGACGCACTACATAGGACTGCATGACGCACTACATAGGACTGCATGTCACACTTCATGGGACTGCAGGACACACTTCATATGACTGCCAGACACACTTAATAGGACTGCATGACACACTACATAGGACTGCATGTCACACTTCATTTAACTGTATGACACACTTACTAGGACTGCCTGACACACTTCATAGGACTGCATGACACACTTCATAGGACTGCATGACACACTTCATAGGACTGCCTGACACACTTCATAGGACTGCATGACACCTGTCTCTTATACACATCTAGATGTGTATAAGAGACAGCTGTTCATAGGACTGCATGACACACTTCATAGGACTGCATGACACACTTCATAGGACTGCCTGACACACTTCATAGGACTGCATGACACACTTCATAGTATTGCATGACGCACTTCAATTAACTGCATGACGTTTCATAGGACTGCATGACACACTTCATTTAACTGTGTGACACTCTTCATTTAACTGTATGACACATTTCATTTAACTGTATGACACACTTCATTTAACTGTATGACATACCTCATTTAACTGTATGACACACTTCATTTAACTGTATGTCTTCATTTAACTGTATGACATACCTCATTTAACTGCATGACATACCTCATTTAACTGCATGACACACTTCATTTAACTGTATGACACTTAATTTAACTGTATGACACACTTCATTTAACTATATGACACACTTCATATGACTGCATGTCATTCTTTATTTAACTGCATGACACTTCATTCAACTGTACAACACACTTTATTTAAGTGTATGACACAACTTCATTTAATTGTATGACACACTTCATTTAACTGCATGACACACTTCATTTAACTGCCTGACACTCTTCATAGGACTGCATGACACACTTCATTCAACTGCATGACACACTTCATTTAACTGTATGACACACTTCATTTTACTGTATGCAATGGTGGGCACAGCTAACCTAAAAATTAGCTTTGATAGCCGCTAATCCGCTAACGGAAAAGTTAGCTTCGATACCGCTAAACCGATAAATCACCAAAAAATATAGCGGAATTTGCCGCTAACCGCTAACTTTTAATATATAAATTTAGATTTGGCTTAATTTTGGGGGGGGGGAACTCTGAAAAACAGGCCTAAAGAGCTGAACTTTAAGCCTTGAAAAGGAGCTTTCCAAAAAGATGTAGCATGCCAAGATCAGATGATGATCAAGATGTACGTAACATAAATAAGTAAATGAACAAATGAAATTAGGCAGTAGATGACATTCAACATACAGTTTATTAAACAAATATTAAGGTTACACCAGGGTTACACACTCCTTTTACTCTGGCTTGCCCTTCGCCTTCATCTCCTCAAGGTGATGATTGTTGCCCTTCATGAACATCAGCCTCTCAAAGTTGGCATCTGACAGGGTGGCTCTCTTGGAACTCAAGATGTCCTTGCCTATGGAAAACAGGCGCTCAACTGCTGCACTGGATGAGATGGCTGTGTTGTACTTAACGAAAAGATTCATCAACACCTGCTTGCCCAAGAAGGCAACGTCAGTCAATTCCTCCTTCGAGCTGCTTTCCAGCCTGGTCTTCACCAAATTCTGTGCCTTGGACTTCAGTGACCAGTGGCTCCTCCTGCACTCCAGGGGCTGAGTAATGCTGCTGAAGAAGTCATCTTCCCCATCCTCGTCATTGCTGGTGGTGCTGCAGCCCTCCTCAACGGTCTCCCTCAGGGCTGTCTCCATGGCCTTCTGTACCCTGCGGAACAGGCGAAAGCCAGAACAGGCGAAACTTGGGGTGGAATTCTGCTGCCAGCTGGCACTACTTGTCTTCTAGGAGGGACCCAAACCTTCTCGTGATGCTTGCCAGCATTGCGTCCACCAGAGGACTGCAGTACAGGACGTCTTGTGTTACTGCCAGTAACACAAGACGTGATTGGCTGACAAACAGATGATGACGTAGTCAGCCGTCAGTGTGGGCGTGGCACACGGCTTACGATCTTAGCATTAAATCAGAGATTTTTAAACGTTTTTAGCGGACGGCCAGTTAGCGGAACTAAATTCAGCGGAAGCTAATTGGTCCAATAAAGGTTTTCAAAGTTAACTGAACAGCTAATCCAATAAGGAAACAGTTAGCTTCCCTAATTAGCGGTTAGCGGAACTGTGCCCACCACTGACTGTATGACACACTTCATTTAACTGAATGATACATGTCATATGACTGCATGACACACCTAATTTATCTGTATGACACACTTCATTTAACTGTATGGCACATGTCATATGACTGCTTGACACACTTCATTTAACTGTATGATACATTTCATTTAACTGCATGACACACTTCATTTAACTGTATGACACACTTCATTTAACTGTTTGACACACTTTATTTAACTGCTTGACACACTTCTTTTAACTGTATGACACACTTCATTTAACTGCATGACACCCTTCAATTAACTGTATGACACACTTCATTTAACTGTATGACACATGTTATGACTGCATGATGTTATGAGTTATGACACATGTTATGACTACAGTGCCGTCCTGCCGAGACTCGAGCTGCCGCCGTGGAGACGCGCCCCCTGGTGACAGGCGCTCCCACCGCGCTCTCCGGCAGAGCTTCAAGAACAACTGTTCCTGCATCAATCAATATCAAGGTTTCAATCACAGGAAGGATTAAATTACTTGATGCCAGCCAAATAAATGAACTCAAACACCATCATACGTCTCTGTGCCAGGCTCTCTAGAATTAATTGAATGTTTTTACGAGTTGGATTTAAGAGTGGGTACTGCGGCCACATATTAATGGAAGGATGGCATGATTAGCTGCATTACTTAAGATGTACAACTTTCGTATTATGATTTCTAGTGCCATGGCTCTTGTGCGTACGAGAGGAGGATCTTGTGGACGAAGGAGGGCCAATGTAGAGTGGGGAGATGAGGGATGGATGGATGAATGGCCAAAAAAACGCCGCCTCTTGGGGACTCCCACAGTGAGGAGGCGCTGAGGGTCGTGGGGAAAAGGACACGTGGGGAGATACTAAGAAAACGAGCCACTCACGAGCGCCGCAGATGAGCGTCGCAGATGAGCATCACCACCAACATGCATCGCTCACGGTGAACAAACACCTAATCATTGGAAACATTTCATCACCATAATATTTCATTATCGGAAAAAGTGCATTTTGCATACAAGTACATGTAGGTGTGATTGAGTAATTGATATACTAAGCAATTAGATCGCATATAATAAACGACATAGTGTACGATACACTTGCCTGGGGTTAGGTTCAAGGTAGTAATAAGTTCATCCGGTGACCAAATCAAGGATTAGGGTAGGTTGGGCAACAAGGACCTGCTGATGCCCTTATCTGTGTCATGAAGACATGAACATGCACCACTAACATGCGTGCGTCACTAATGTGCAACATTAACATGCATTATGAACATGCACCACTAAAATGTGTTGCTAACATGCATCTTTAAAATGCACCTCTAATATGAAATACACAAATGTGTCACTAACATGAAATACAGAAATCTGTCACTAACATGCACCTTTGACATAAGTCACTAACATGCATTACTAACTTGCATCACTAACATGCACATTTAACATGCCATAGAAACATTTTTCACTAATATGCTCCTTTGACATGAGCCACTAACATGTGTCAGTAACATTCATTAATACCTTGCACCACAAACCTGTATCAGGAACGTGCGTCACTAACATGCACCTCTAAAATACGTTAATAACATACACCACTAACATTAACCATTATAATGCGTCACTTTCATTCGCCACTTACATGCACCCCTAAAAAACATCAATAAAATGCGTTACTAACATTAGCCATTAAATGAGTAGCTAATATGCATCACTGACCTGCAGTCCTGCACCTCTAAAAAGCAATACGAACATTCAAAGCTAACATGCACCTCTAACATGCTCCACTAAAATTAATTGCTCACGTGCTCCTCTAAAAAGCACCACTAACATGCATCACTGAAATGCAGTGCAAACATGCGTCACTGACATGCACCACCAAAAATTTTCATTAACATGCATTACTCACATGTGTCACTGACATGCACCACAAACATGTATCTCTAAAATTCATCACTAAAATCAAACACTAACATGCATCACCATCATGAATACACTATCTTATACCGCGAATATATGTCGCCAACATTAATTAATCTCGAACATGCATCTTTAACATGACCTTCATCTCGCCTACACTGAGAGAAATGGGTGGGTCTGGATGACCCACTTTGATGAGTCAACCGCGTCCGAAAATCGATGCACTTTTTTGATTCACTTGTCCCATTTGTGGGTCATACTGACCCATTAAATTTCAAGCATGACTCACTTGTGACGTTAAATCGCTCTGACGCCCAGATGCTAACTACGTATCCATGCTACGGGTGGCGTCATAAGAGATTTGACGTCACAAGTGAGTCATGCCTGGAATTTAATGGGTCAGTATGACCCACAAATGGGGCAAGTGAGTCGAAAAAGTGCATCGATATTCGGACGCGGTTGACTCATCAAAGTGGGTCATCCAGACCCACCCATTTCTCTCAGTGTATCCTGATAAGGCTGAGTTGAGCGATAAGCCGACGACGATGCGTTGATAAGACGGCTGGAGGTGAGCCAGTCAGCTGATGAGGCAGTGTAGCGGATCTCGCTACATAGCAATAATTTTATGTTTATCATATTAAT